CGCCTCGAGGGGCTGCCACCGCTTCCTGAGAGCCTACTATGCGTCCGGCCCCGACTAGGCTGGACCCACGTGATCCTTGACTCTGCTGCCTGGCCTGGCAAGGCCTTGGGAAAGGAGGACGCGGGCCGGACAGGGGACTCCGCGAGGCTAGAGGGCCGTGGGTCAGACGGCCTTGCAGTCTCTCTGAGGGCCCCCACCTTCCCCCGCCCGCAAGGGCCGAAGGCCAGCTCTGGACTGCTTCCAGTGGCCTCCCTCCTCCAGGCGAGGCCGGCACACACCTGCTCACGGCAGCTCCGTCCCAAACCCCAGCCCCAACGAGGCTGGAGGTGAATAAGCAGAAACCCAGGCGTCGGCTGACACCACCTCTGTCACTGCTAAGGCCATTTCCTGGGTAAGCGTCCACCTGTACCTTCCCTCAAAGGGGGCAGCCTCCAAACAGACTCCCGGGGCCCAGATTCCCAAATCCGCCCTCCCTGCAGCTGGTGAGAAGCTCCTTCCCAGCACAGCTTGGGAAGCCTGGGGTACCCAGCTGCGGTCCTCTCCTCCCACTGCCTTGAGGGACGTCCACATTTCTCAGCTGCCCGTGGCCATGCCCGGATAATGGGTGAAATGGACGTCTCTGTGTCCGCACTGACCAAGGATTTGACCAAGGATTTTATTTATTCATCTCTTCAACAAATATTCCAAATCTTATTGCTCGCCAGGATGCTGAGATGGGTTTAAAACAGAAAGAAAAAATAAAAATCCGGGGCTCGGTGGCTCAGCCTGTAATCCCACGCGCCTTGGGAGGCTGAGGTGAGTGGATTGCCTGAGGCTGCAGTTTCGAGACCCGCCCGGGCAACTTGGCGAGACCTCATTTCTACAATAAATCAAAATGAGCCGGGTGTGGTAGCGCGCGCCTGTAGTTCCAGCTACTCGAAAGGCTGAGGCGGAAGGATCGCCGGAGCCCAGCAGGTGGAGGCTGCGGTGGCCGGGAGCGGCCACTGCACTCCAGTCTGAGTGACAGAGTGAGACTCCAACTCAAAAAAAAAAAATCCCATTGCAGCAGGTGTAGCCAGAAAAAAAAAAGAAAAGGTCTTAAGAAGGAAGATTCTAGAACATATGGGATCTAGAAACTGTAAAAGCACAGACAACATACCCACCCCCGCCTGGGGAAGTGGAGGAGGGGAAGGAACAGTTCAACCCTGAGGTGGGGAGGAGGTACATTCTCTAGGGAGCAGGTGATGGCAGCCAGAGTGTCTCTCCAGAACAGTGGGGAGACTGCTTTCACTTGTCTCCTCAGTCACTAGGGAGCTCAGAGATACCTTTCTCTAGTGTTCCAAGTCTTCTAGCTGAGTGAGTGGGGGCCCTTGGTTTCATCTTTCTCTCCTGCTGTGATTTTTCTCCTCGCATGATTTCCCCTCTCACCCTGTAACTCTTCAGACTGCTAGGTTTTTAACTTTCCAGGCTTCTGGATTTTGTGAACTGCTTCAGTGCCTTTGGGGGACAAGGCAAGGAGTGAATAAGCAAAGCCCTTCTTTCCTCTTGGCACTCAGCAGGGTGGAGCTGACTCGAGAATGGTCTTTTTTTCTTTTCTTTTTTTTTTTTTTAGTTGGAGTCTCACTCTGTCACCCAGACTGGAGTGCAGTGGCCGCTCCCGGCCACCACAGCCTCGACCTGCTGGGCTCCGGCGGCGATCCTTCTACCTCAGCCTTCCAAGTAGCTGGAACTACAGACGCATGCCACCACGTCCGGCTAGTTTTTGTGATTTATTGTAGAGATGAGGGCTCACCAAGTTGCCCTGGCTGGTCTCGAACCCCCGGGCTCAGGCAATCCTCTCACCTCGGCCTCCCAAAGTGCTGGGATTACAGGCTGAGCCACCGTGCCTGGCCCTTAGTGGGTTCTTGATCATCATCATATGCTTTACATGGTTTGTAGCCCGTTGGTCTCCTGAAGTCCAGGCTAGTTTTACAACCATCAGGACACAAGGAGGCAGGACAGGGTCGGACTTCCAGGCTGCTGAAGGTTTCTCCTCTTGGGTTTGAAACCTCTGGGGGCTGTGTCACCTGCGCAAGTTACTTAAATTCTCTGTATCAAACCAGGTGCGGTAGCTCACGCCTGTGATCCCAGTGTTTTGGGAGACTGAGGTGAGAGGATAGCTTAAAGCCAAGAGTTCAGTACTAACCTGGGCAACATAGTGAGACCTCATCTACAACAACAATAACAACAAAATTAATTAAAATAAATTCCCAGGCTGGGCGCTGTGGCTCATGCCTATAATCCCAGCACTTTGGGAGGCCGAGGTGAGAAAATTGCCTGAGCCCACGGGTTCGAGACCAGCCTGGGCAACTTGGTGAGACCTCACCTCTACAATAAATAAAAAAGTTAGCCAGGCGTGGTAACACGTGCTTATAATTCCAGCTACTTGGAAGGCTGAGGTGGAAGGATCGCCGGAGCCCAGCAGGT